TGGTTACAAGTACTGACTGATGTTGTAGTGCCAGACTTAGTCTTGGTTACAAGTACTGACTGATGTTGTAGTGGCCAGACTTAGTCTTGGTTACAAGTACTGACTGATGTTGTAGTGGCCAGACTTAGTCTTGGTTACAAGTACTGACTGATGTTGTAGCAGCCAGACTTAGTCTTGGTTACAAGTACTGACTGATGTTGTAGTGGCCAGACTTAGTCTTGGTTACAAGTACTGACTGATGTTGTAGCGCCAGGACTTAGTCTTGGTTACAAGTACTGACTGATGTTGTAGTGAGCCAGACTTAGTCTTGGTTACAAGTACTGACTGATGTTGTAGGCAGACTTAGTCTTGGTTACAAGTACTGACTGATGTTGTAGCAGGCCAGACTTAGTCTTGGTTACAAGTACTGACTGATGTTGTAGTAGCCAGACTTAGTCTTGGTTACAAGTACTGACTGATGTTGTAGCAGCCAGACTTAGTCTTGGTTACAAGTACTGACTGATGTTGTAGTGACCAGACTTAGTCTTGGTTACAAGTACTGACTGATGTTGTAGAGCCAGACTTAGTCTTGGTTACAAGTACTGACTGATGTTGTGTGCCAGACTTAGCTGGTTCAAGTACTGACTGATGTGTAGTGGCCAGACATTTGGTTACAAGTACTGACTGATGTTGTAGTGCCAGACTTAGTCTTGGTTACAAGTACTGACTGATGTTGTAGTGGCCAGACTTAGCTTGTTACAAGTACTGACTGATGTTGTAGTGGCCAGACTTAGTCTTGGTTACAAGTACTGACTGATGTTGTAGTAGCCAGACTTAGTCTTGGTTACAAGTACTGACTGATGTTGTAGTGGCCAGACTTAGTCTTGGTTACAAGTACTGACTGATGTTGTAGTGCCAGACTTAGTCTTGGTTACAAGTACTGACTGATGTTTGTAGTAGCCAGGCTTAGTCTTGGTTACAAGTACTGACTGATGTTGTAGTGGTCAGGCTTAGTCTTGGTTACAAGTACTGACTGATGTTGTAGTGGCCAGACTTAGGCTTGGTTACAAGTACTGACTGATGTTGTAGTGGCCAGGCTTAGTCTTGGTTACAAGTACTGACTGATGTTGTAGTGGCCAGACTTAGTCTTGGTTACAAGTACTGACTGATGTTGTAGTGGACCAGACTTAGTCTTGGTTACAAGTACTGACTGATGTTGTAGTGTCCAGACTTAGTCTTGGTTACAAGTACTGACTGATGTTGTAGTGACCAGACTTAGTCTTGGTTACAAGTACTGACTGATGTTGTAGTGACCAGACTTAGTCTTGGTTACAAGTACTGACTGATGTTGTAGTGGCCAGACTTAGTCTTGGTTACAAAGTACTGACTGATGTTGTAGTGGCCAGACTTAGTCTTGGTTACAAGTACTGACTGATGTTGTAGTGGCCAGACTTAGTCTTGGTTACAAGTACTGACTGATGTTGTAGTGACCAGACTTAGTCTTGGTTACAAGTACTGACTGATGTTGTAGTGGCCAGACTTAGTCTTGGTTACAAGTACTGACTGATGTTGTAGTAGCCAGGCTTGGTCTTGGTTACAAGTACTGACTGATGTTGTAGTGGCCAGACTTAGTCTTGGTTACAAGTACTGATGATGTTGTAGTGCCAGACTTAGTCTTGGTTACAAGTACTGACTGATGTTGTAGTGACCAGACTTAGTCTTGGTTACAAGTACTGACTGATGTTGTAGTGGCCAGACTTAAGTCTTGGTTACAAGTACTGACTGATGTTGTAGTGACCAGACTTAGTCTTGGTTACAAGTACGACTGACTGATGTTGTAGTAGCCAGACTTAGTCTTGGTTACAAGTACTGACTGATGTTGTAGTGGCCAGACTTAGTCTTGGTTACAAGTACTGACTGATGTTGTAGTGGCCAGACTTAGTCTTGTTACAAGTACTGAATGATGTTGTAGTGGCCAGACTTAGTCTTGGTTACAAGTACTGACTGATGTTGTAGTGGCCAGGCTTAGTCTTGGTTACAAGTACTGACTGATGTTGTAGTGACCAGACTTAGTCTTGGTTACAAGTACTGACTGATGTTGTAGTGACCAGGCTTAGTCTTGGTTACAAGTACTGACTGATGTTGTAGTAGGCCAGACTTAGTCTTGGTTACAAGTACTGACTGATGTTGTAGTGACCAGACTTAGTCTTGGTTACAAGTACTGACTGATGTTGTAGTGACCAGACTTAGTCTTGGTTACAAGTACTGACTGATGTTGTAGTGGCCAGACTTAGTCTTGGTTACAAGTACTGACTGATGTTGTAGTGGCCAGACTTAGTCTTGGTTACAAGTACTGACTGATGTTGTAGTGGCCAGACTTAGTCTTGGTTACAAGTACTGACTGATGTTGTAGTGGCCAGCTTAGTCTTGGTTACAAGTACTGACTGATGTTGTAGTGGCCAGACTTAGTCTTGGTTACAAGTACTGACTGATGTTGTAGTGACCAGACTTAGTCTTGGTTACAAGTACTGACTGATGTCGTAGTGGCCAGACTTAGTCTTGGTTACAAGTACTGACTGATGTTGTAGTGGCCAGACTTAGTCTTGGTTACAAGTACTGACTGATGTTGTAGTGGCCAGACTTAGTCTTGGTTACAAGTACTGACTGATGTTGTAGTGACCAGACTTAGTCTTGGTTACAAGTACTGACTGATGTTCGTCAGTGGCCAGACTTAGTCTTGGTTACAAGTACTGACTGATGTTGTAGCAGCCAGACTTAGTCTTGGTTACAAGTACTGACTGATGTTGTAGCAGCCAGACTTAGTCTTTGTTACAAGTACTGACTGATGTTGTAGCAGCCAGACTTAGTCTTGGTTACAAGTACTGACTGATGTTGTAGTGGCCAGACTTAGTCTTGGTTACAAGTACTGACTGATGTTGTAGCAGGGCCAGACTTAGTCTTGTGTTACAAGTACTGATCTGATGTTGTAGCAGCCAGACTTAGGCTTGGTTACAAGTACTGACTGATGTTGTAGTGGCCAGACTTAGTCTTGGTTACAAGTACTGACTGATGTTGCAGTGGCCAGACTTAGTCTTGGTTACAAGTACTGACTGATGTTGTAGCAGCCAGACTTAGGCTTGGTTACAAGTACTGACTGATGTTGTAGTGACCAGACTTAGTCTTGGTTACAAGTACTGACTGATGTTGTAGTGGCCAGACTTAGTCTTGGTTACAAGTACTGATGATGTTGTAGGACCAGACTTAGTCTTGGTTACAAGTACTGACTGATGTTGTATGTGACCAGACTTAGTCTTGGTTACAAGTACTGACTGATGTGTGTCAGACTTATTGGTACAAGTATGACATTTAGTGCAGCATTGGTCACTGTCTTGACCACTATGTGCTTAATTGTCCACTTATTGAGGAACACAGAGACAGACAGTATAATAACCTACGTGACATGTCAAGATATCTTATTAATGAAATAAGATACCAGATATACTAAGGAAATTTCCTTAATTTGCTTGTAACAGATAATTGAACTGTAGATATGTAGATATAAATCCATATATACACCTGTTAATCCTTTTGGGGCCTAGTTCCTAGGCCTGTTGTGTGTCCATATGCTCTCGCACTACCGTCCATAGGATGGATATGGGGTACATAATAAACTGGCCACTTCGGTGCCAAAATCTATATCCCTGGTGATTATAGGAAATTTTAATAATTTAGTGTTAATAGGTACTTGGGTGTTAGTGGACTGGTGTGGGTGGCATCCTGGGTGTTAGTGGACTGGTGTGGGTGGCATCCTGGGTGTTAGTGGACTGGTGTTGGTGGCCTCCTGGATGTTAGTGGACTGGTGTTGGTGGCATCCTGGGTGTTAGTGGACTGGTGTGGGTGGCATCCTGGGTGTTAGTGGACTGGTGTGGGTGGCATCCTGGGTGTTAGTGGACTGTTGTGGGTGGCATCCTGAGTGTTAGTGGACTGGTGTGGGTGGCATCCTGGGTGTTAGTGGACTGGTGTGGGTGGCATCCTGGGTGTTTAGTGGACTGTTGTGGGTGGCATCCTGGGTATTAGTGGACTGGTGTTGGTGGCCTCCTGGATGTTAGTGACTGGTGTGGGTGGCATCATCTGGGTGTTAGTGGACTGGTGTGGGTCACATCCTGGGTGTTAGTGGACTGGTAGTGGGTTGCATCCTGGGTGTTAGTGGACTGGTGTGGGTGGCATCCTGGGTGTTAGTGGACTGGTGTGGGTGGCATCCTGAGTGTTAGTGGACTGGTGTGGGTGGCATCCTGGATGTTAGTGGACTGGTGTGGGTGGCATCCTGGGTGTTAGTGGACTGTTGTGGGTGGCATCCTGGGTATTAGTGGACTGGTGTTGGTGGCCTCCTGGATGTTAGTGGACTGGTGTGGGTGGCATCCTGGGTGTTAGTGGACTGGTGTGGGTCACATCCTGGGTGTTAGTGGACTGGTGTGGGTGGCATCCTGGGTGTTAGTGGACTGGTGTGGGTGGCATCCTGGGTGTTAGTGGACTGTTGTGGGTGGCATCCTGAGTGTTAGTGGACTGGTGTGGGTGGCATCCTGGATGTTAGTGGACTGGTGTGGGTGGCATCCTGGGTGTTAGTGGACTGTTGTGGGTGGCATCCTGGGTATTAGTGGACTGGTGTTGGTGGCCTCCTGGATGTTAGTGGACTGGTGTGGGTGGCATCCTGGGTGTTAGTGGACTGGTGTTGGTGGCCTCCTGGGTGTTAGTGGACTGTTGTGGGTGGCATCCTGAGTGTTAGTGGACTGTTGTGGCTGGCATCCTGGGTATTAGTGGACTGTTGTGGGTGGCATCCTGTGTATTAGTGGACTGGTGTGGGTGGCCTCCTGGATGTTAGTGGACTGGTGTGGGTGGCCTCCTGGATGTTAGTGGACTGTTGTGGGTGGCATCCTGGATGTTAGTGAACTGTTGTGGGTGGCATCCTGGGCAGGACGATACGTATGTACATATTTACAACTTACTGCTATTAATATTTCAAGTATTTAATTTGTTCTACCTCAGATCTACGACTATATGACCTGTCTACCCGGGCACAAGGTACCCAGGGTAGCTACCCCAGGTGAGAAGGCTAGAGAGAGGCAACTGATGCTGCAGCTACCCAAGCAGGACCTAGCACTAGCCTTCACCAGACACGTGGAACCCCAGTACCACACATCCTTCAGAGACTTCGTGGCTGCCAGGAATGACATAGCCCTTGACATCGGCATCGTTAGACATCACATTCCACAGAATATTGTGAGTCCTGCCTTCCAGCCTCTCTTATTCAAGACAGTTATTAGCGTTACTTACCGAATTATGTACCTCTGTGATGTTGAGGTACAGTCCCTGGACCCATTATGTACCTCTGTGATGTTGAGGTACAGTCCCTGGACCCATTGTGTACCTCTGTAATGTTGAGGTACAGTCCCTGGACCCATTATGTACCTCTGTGATGTTGAGGTACAGTCTCTGGACCCATTATGTACCTCTGTAATGTTGAGGTACAGTCCCTGGACCCATTATGTACCTCTGTGATGTTGAGGTACAGTCCCTGGACCCATTATGTACCTCTGTAATGTTGAGGTACAGTCCCTGGACCTATTATGTACCTCTGTAATGTTGAGGTACAGTCCCTGGACCTATTATGTACCTCTGTAATGTTGAGGTACAGTCCCTGGACCCATTGTGTACCTCTGTAATGTTGAGGTACAGTTCCTGGACCCATTATGTACCTCTGTAATGTTGAGGTTACAGTCCCTGACCCATTATGTACCTCTGTAATGTTGAGGTACAGTCCCTGGACCCATTATGTACCTCTGTAATGTTGAGGTACAGTCCCTGGACCCATTATGTACCTCTGTAATGTTGAGGTACAGTCCTGGACCCATTATGTACCTCTGTAATGTTGAGGTACAGTCCCTAGACCCATTATGTACCTCTGTAATGTTGAGGTACAGTCCCTGGACCCATTATGTACCTCTGTGATGTTGAGGTACAGTCCCTGGACCCATTATGTACCTCTGTGATGTTGAGGTACAGTCCCTGGACCCATTATGTAGCTCTGTGATGTTGAGGTAGAGTCCCTGGACCCATTATGTACCTCTAATGTTGAGGTACAGTCCCTGGACCCATTATGTACCTTTGTAATGTTGAGGTACAGTCCCTGGACCCATTATGTACCTCTGTGATGTTGAGGTACAGTCCCTGGACCCATTATGTACCTCTGTAATGTTGAGGTACAGTCCCTGGACCCATTATGTACCTCTGTAATGTTGAGGTACAGTCCCTGGACCCATTATGTACCTCTGTAATGTTGAGCTGCAGTCCCTGGACCCATTATGTACCTCTGTAATGTTGAGGTACAGTCCCTGGACCCATTATGTACCTCTGTGAATGTTGAGGTACAGTCCCTGGACCCATTGTGTACCTCTGTAATGTTGAGGTACAGTCCCTGGACCCATTATGTACCTCTGTGATGTTGAGGTACAGTCCCTGGACCCATTATGTACCTCTGTAATGTTGAGGTACAGTCCCTGGATCCATTATGTAGCTCTAATGTTGAGGTACAGTCCCTGGACCCATTATGTGTACCCTTAATGTTGAGGTACAGTCCCTGGACCCATTATGTACCTCTGTAATGTTGAGGTACAGTCCCTGGACCCATTATGTACCTCTAATGTTGAGGTACAGTCCCTGGACCCATTATGTACCTCTAATGTTGAGGTACAGTCCCTGGACCCATTATGTACCTCTGTAATGTTGAGGTACAGTCCCTGGACCCATTATGTACCTCTGTAATGTTGAGGTATAGTCCCTGGACCCATTATGTAGCTCTAATGTTGAGGTACAGTCCCTGGACCCATTATGTACCTCTAATGTTGAGGTACAGTCCCTGGACCCATTATGTACCTCTGTAATGTTGAGGTACAGTCCCTGGACCCATTATGTACCTCTGTGATGTTGAGGTACAGTCCCTGGAGCCATTATGTACCTCTGTGATGTTGAGGTACAGTCCCTGGACCCATTATGTACCTCTAATGTTGAGGTACAGTCCCTGGACCCATTATGTACCTCTGTGATGTTGAGGTACAGTCCCTGGACCCAATATGACTCTGTATATTGAGGTAAGTCCTTGAGCATTATGTACCTCTGTAATGTTGAGGTACAGTCCCTGGACCCATTATGTACCTCTGTGATGTTGAGGCTGACAGTCCCTGGACCCATTATGTACCTCTGTAATGTTGAGCTGCAGTCCCTGGACCCATTATGTACCTCTGTAATGTTGAGGTACAGTCCCTGGACCCATTATGTACCTCTGTAATGTTGAGGTACAGTCTCTGGACCCATTATGTACCTCTGTAATGTTGAGGTACAGTCCCTGGACCCATTATGTACCTCTGTAATGTTGAGGTGCAGTCCCTGGACCCATTATGTACCTCTGTAATGTTGAGGTACAGTCCCAGGACCCATTATGTACCTCTGTGATGTTGAGGTACAGTCCCTGGACCCATTGTGTACCTCTGTGATGTTGAGGTACAGTCCCTGGACCCATTATGTACCTTTGTAATGTTAAGGTACAGTCCCTGGACCAATTATGTACCTTTGTAATGTTAAGGTACAGTCCCTGGACCATTATGTACCTCTGTAATGTTGAGGTACAGTTCCTGGATCCACTATGTACCTCTGTAATGTTGAGGTACAGTCCCTGGACCCATTATGAACCTCTGTAATGGTGAGGTACCGTCCCTGGACCCATTGTGTACCTCTGTGATGTTGAGGTACAGTCCCTGGACCCATTATGTACCTTTGTAATGTTGAGGTACAGTCCCTGGACCCATTATGTACCTCTGTAATGTAGAGGTACAGTCCCTGGACCCATTATGTACCTCTGTAATGTTGAGGTACAGTCCCTGAACCCATTATGCACCTCTGTAATGTTGAGGTACAGTCCCTGAACCCATTATGTACCTCTGTAATGTTGAGGTACAGTCCCTGGACCCATTATGTACCTCTGTAATGTTGAGGTACAGTCCTTGGACCCATTATGTACCTCTGTAATGTGAGGTACAGTCCCTGGACCCATTATGTACCTCTGTAATGTTGAGGTACAGTCCCTGGACCCATTATGCACCTATGTAATGTTGAGGTACAGTCCCTGAACCCATTATGTACCTCTGTAATGTTGAAATACAGTCCCTGGACCCATTATGTACCTCTGTAATGTTGAGGTACAGTCCTTGGACCTGTTATGTACCTCTGTAATGGTGAGGTACAGTCCCTGGACCCATTATGTACCTCTGTAATGTTGAGGTACAGTCCCTGGACCCATTATGTACCTCTGTAATGTTGAAGTACAGTCCCTGGACCCATTATGTACCTCTGTAATGTTGAGATACAGTCCCTGGACCCATTATGTACCTCTGTAATGTTGAGGTACAGTTCCTGGACCCATTATGTACCTCTGTAATGTTGAGGTACAGTTCCTGGACCCATTATGTACCTCTGTAATGTTGAGGTACAGTCCTTGGACCCTTATGTACCTCTGTATTGTGAAGTACAGTCCCTGGACCCATTATGTACCTCTGTAATGTTGAGGTACAGTCCCTGGACCCATTATGTACCTCTGTAATGTTGAAGTACAGTCCCTGGACCCATTATGTACCTCTGTAATGTTGAGGTACAGTTCCTGGACCCATTATGTACCTCTGTAATGTTGAGGTACAGTCCCTGGACCCATTATGTACCTCTAATGTTGAGATACAGTCCCTGGACCCATTATGTACCTCTAATGTTGAGATACAGTCCCTGGACCCATTATGTACCTCTGTAATGTTGAGGTACAGTCCCTGGACCCATTATGTACCTCTCACCCACAGGATGGGTCTGGGCTGCTTAATAAAAACATTAAACTGTCTTTCTTTTCTTAGATCATTGTCAAATCACAAGTAAGACGAGAAAGGTAGAGAAGGTGGGGGAGGTTATTGTCTTGCTCCAGCCACTGTATTGTGATTTCCTTTGTTATTTATTATTAATAATAATCAGGATGCACGAGTATTTATTTATTCTAAATTAATTGAATAGTTACCCTCGTAATGTGTTATGCCGTTTTCTTTCATACTTTAAGTGATAGAGAAAACGTTCTTCTAGGAGGAACTTAAATAAAATTATGCTCGTAGGCATTTATTTACATAAGCTCGGCTTTATTTAAGCACTTTGTAGTTGTCTTACACATGTGATGAGGTTGTAACATGGTTATGGATGGAACATAGGTGTAATTAGTGTTAAATTATAAAGATTATAGGCTGTCCCTGTTGACCCCATCAGTTTAAAATAGGCACCTGGGTGTTAGGACCCCAATGGAAATAAGTCACTCTGTCTGACTTTTTTGGGTTATCCTAGGTTATCCCAGGTTATCCCAGGTTCTCTACACATATGCTACTATGTATGATAATTCTATGTAACTGTATTTGTGTATACATGAATAAACTTACTTAATTACTTACTAGTCGACTGGTGTGGGTCGCATCCTGGGACAAAAGTGACCTAATTTGCCCGAAATGCTCAGCATAACAAGCAACTTTCTTGGTGTGACCTCTGGTTAACAAGCATTACGTTATTTTAGATATATCTATATGTTGTATAATAACAGGTGATATAAATATTTAGCCTGGTGGCCCGGTGGCCCGGTGGCCTGGTGGCTAGTGGCCCAGTGGCCTGGTGGCTAGTGGCCCGGTGGCCTGGGGGCCTGGTGGCTAGTGGCCCAGTGGCCTGGTGGCTAGTGGCCCGGTGGCCTGGTGGCCTGGTGGCTAGTGGCCCAGTGGCCTGGTGGCTAGTGGCCGGTGGCCTGGTGGCTAGTGGCCCAGTGGCCTGGTGGCTAGTGGCCCGGTGGCCTGGTGGCTATTTGCCCGGTGGCCTGGTGGCCTGGTGCTAGTGGCCCGGTGGCCTGGTGGCTAGTGGCCCGGTGGCCTGGTGGCCTGGTGGCTAGTCGCCCGGTGGCCTGGTGGCTAGTGGCCCGGTGGCCTGGTGGCCTGGGTGGCTAGTGGCCCGGTGGCCTGGTGGCAGTGGCCCGGTGGCCTGGTGGCTAGTGGCCCGGTGGCCTGGTGGCCTGGTGGCCTGGTGGCTAGTGGCCGGTGGCGCTGGTGACTAGTGGCCCGGTGGCCTGGTGGCTGGTGGTAGTGGCCCGGTGGCCTGGATGGCTAGTGGCCCGGTGGCCTGGTGGCTAGTGGCCCGGTGGCCTGGTGGCCTGGTGGCCCGGTGGCCTGGTGGCTAGTGGCCCGGTGGCCTGGTGGCTAGTGGCCCGGTGGCCTGGTGGCTAGTGGCCCGGTGGCCTGGTGGCCTGGTGGCTAGTGGCCCGGTGGCCTGGTGGCCTGGTGGCCTGGTGGCTAGTGGCCCAGTGGCCTGGTGGCTAGTGGCCCGGTGGCCTGGTGGCCTGGTGGCTAGTGGCCCGGTGGCCTGGTGGCTAGTGGCCCGGTGGCCTGGTGGCTAGTGGCCCGGTGGCCTGGTGGCCTGTGGCTAGTGGCCCGGTGGCCTGGTGGCTAGTGGCCCGGTGGCCTGGTTGGCCTGGTGGCCTGGTGGCTAGTTGGCCCGGTGGCCTGGTGGCTAGAGCTCCCGCCTTCACACACGGAGGCCCGGGTTCGATTCCCGGCGGGTGGAAAACATTTCGACACGTTTCCTTACACTGTTGTCCTGTTCACCTAGCAGCAAATAGGTACCTGGGTGTTAGTCGACTGTGTGTGGGTGGCATCCTGGGTGTTAGTGGACTGGTGTGGGTGGCATCCTGGGTGTTAGTCGACTGGTGTGGGTCACATCCTGGTGTTAGTGGACTGGTGTGGGTCACATCCTGGTGTTAGTGGACTGGGTGGGTGGCATCCTGGGTGTTAGTGGACTGGTGTGGGTGGCATCCTGGGTGTTAGTGGACTGGTGTGGGTGGCATCCTGGGTGTTAGTGGACTGGTGTGGGTCACATCCTGGTGTTAGTGGACTGGTGTGGGTCACATCCTGGGTGTTAGTGGACTGGTGTGGGTGGCATCCTGGGTGTTAGTGGACTGGTGTGGGTGGCATCCTGGGTGTTTAGTGGACTGGTGTGGGTGGGCATCCTGGGTGTTAGTGGACTGGTGTGGGTCACATCCTGGGTGTTAGTCGACTGGTGTGGGTGGCATCCTGGGTGTTAGTGGACTGGTGTGGGTGGCATCCTGGGGGACAAGATTAAGGACCAACAATGGAAATAAGTTAGACAGTCCTCGATGACGCACTGACTTTCTTGGGTTATCCTGGGTGGCTAACCCTCCGGGGTTAAAAAATCCCAACGAAATCTTATCTTATCTTGTCTTAACCAAAGAAAGTCGACGTAATTTTTCCATACACAGATAACCTTCACTTAAGAGAGAGATCTTAACCTGGAGTTTACGTGGAGAGAGTTCCGGGGTCAACGCCCCCACGGCCTGGTCTGTGACCAGGCTTCATGGTGGATCAGGGCCTGATCAACCAGGCTGTAATATTATTTTAGCGTGATACATGTTTGTACAAAGGAGTATAACAATTGGGTGGACATGCCTTAAGCCCCTTTATATAACGAGCATTTTGGACAAACTTAAGATTAATAAAGTATACCACGGGTGGGGTTAGAACCCACGATCAAGAGAGTCATAAAACTCCAGACCGACGCATTAGCCACTGGGCCAACTGGCTACAATAAGATTCATTCAACTAGGTATATTTATACACCATAGGAAGGTTAGCATAGGCCACCACTGTGACCACAAAGTAATAACAGTGCAGTAATTGTACATATAGTCGTTAGGTGAGTTACAATGAATACAAGAGAAATTAATATTCCCCTGTGCGGGTTATTTGTATACTGTTCCAGTCACGGTATTCTTCTGTAGTGACTAAATGGTTATAAATGTGACTATAATATTTAAAGGGGTGGAGGGGTAAGCCAGTGGAAGGCCTCAGTCAGATGACGAAAAGCTCCAACGGCGGGTCATCATCTAAGACCCGCGTCAGGAAACACTCGTTCTGTTTCCTGACCAACCTTACCTAACCTAACCTCATGGTATTGTGCCTCTTTTAAGTAATTAGTCCCTCTGACAAGGGTGTAATTGTCTTTCCAGGAGTGTCGGGGATGCGGGGTGTGATGAGCAAGGGGTCAGTGGGTGTGGTGGCACCTAGAATGTGGTGAGGAGGCCACCTGGTCACCCAGCATGCTTCACCTGTGCCACCTGTCATGAACTGTTAGTGGATCTGGTCTACTGTGTGTGTGGAAGACACAGTACTGTGCGGCAGACACTACGCTGAGAAGCTGAAGCCTCGGTGTTCTGCCTGTGATGAGGTGAGATACTGGTGTACTGTGTTTGTTAGTTTAATATGTTTATTATGTTTATTATGGTGGCCTGGTGGCCCGGTGGCCTGGTGGCTAGTGGCCCGGTGGCCTGGTGCTAGTGGCCCGGTGGCCTGGTGGCTAAGCTCCCGCTTCACACACGGAGGGCCTGGGTTCGATTCCCGGCGGGGTGGAAACATTCCGACAACGTTTCCTTACACCTGTTGTCTTGTTCACCTAGCAGAAAATAGGTACCTGGGTGTTAGTCGACTGGTGTGGGTCGCATCCTGGGGGACAAGATTAAGGACCACAATGGAAATAAGTTAGACAGTCCTCGATGACGCACTGACTTTCTTGGGTTATCCTGGGTGGCTAACCCTCGGGGTTAAAAAATCCGAACGAAATCTTAATCTTATCTTATTATGCACCCCATACCCATCCTGTGGGCGGTAGTCAAAAGATTACAGAGATTACCATAATTGGTCCAGGGACTGGACTCCAAGTTTTGATAGCTGAGAAAGTTAGAGGTAATGAAACTCATAATTTACAAAGGTAATGAACTCACAATTTACAAAGGTAATGAAACTCAGGTAGGTCTAGTCACAATTATGACAAGTTACAAAGGTATTTACAGATTACAGAGGTACGTAATGGTCCAGGGACGGGCTCCAAAGTTTGATGGCTGAAACTAGGTACAAAGGTAATGAACTCACAAGTTACAAAGGTAATGAATCCTGTAAGAATGGTTACTTACGTTTATACATGGCTACAATCATGAACAAATTCTAGAGTAATGAGCAATTCACACTTCCACACCACCCGGTCACAACTGTAATGAGTTATTGGTGCAAATGTATACCATCGAGGTTGAGGTATGCATGAGACAGTGTGTGTGTGTTCAGGGAAGTGAGAGATAGAGGACTTGCATGCTATCTATTCAGAAACTATCTACTATCATGTATTACTGTCGTCTCCCAGATGTTGTCCAGTCCATGGGACCACTGGAGACTATCCGGTTCGAAGACCACTGTAGGGATTTTTAATAACCCTTAAATGGTCCAAACGTATATATATGTTTTTTCAGCATCTGACATTTTTTTTGTTATATTTGAAAATATAATAAAAAAAAGTAGATCTACTTTTGTAGTTACGAATTTGAACGTCGATCTGTTTGGACCGTTTAAGTGTTAAGTTCAGAGACGACTCTTGAAACTTAGGGTTCATGTTAGCAATAAGTGTGTTACTTAAAGGTTAATAGTGTAAAGGGGTGTAATAATGTTAGTAAAAATTACTGACAGTTATGTTAGGTAAAAGGACCCAAATGCAACTACAGTGGACCCCCACATAACGATCACCTCGAATGCGACCAATTATGTAAGTGTATTATGTAAGTGCGTTTGTACGTGTATGGTTTGGGGGTCTGAAATGGACTAATCTACTTCACAATATTCCTTATGGGAACAAATTCGGTCAGTACTGGCACCTGAACATACTTCTGGAGTGAAAAAATATCGTTAACCGGGGTCCACTGTATTCTGTTAGTTTTTTGTGGCGACGTTTTTACTCTCCAGGAGCTTTAGGTGACCCATAGCTCGATTGCCTGCACTCAGCTCACACACTGAGGTCTGAGGGTCGATTTCCCCAGTACGGCTGGAAAACATTAGAATGTGTTTCCATAAGACATCTGCTGTCCATGTTCACCTAGCAGTAAAATAGGTACCTGGGTGTTAGTTGTCTGGTGTGGGTCGCATTTCCCGGGAACAGAATTGACCTAATTTTACCTGAAATGCTCTACATAATTGATGTGTTGAGTTCATCAATCTTTAAGATTGATGGAGCTGAACACTCCAGGCTGGGGACCTGATTACCCAAGCTTCTTTATCCACCATTCTTGTCTGGGGGGCTGATGAAACCTCTGTGGTGGCAAGACATTTCATCAATAAAATTCCCAGATATTGCACAAGTGGTCATCTTCAATTTTCAGATTTTAAAGCACTTACGACAGTGTTGTTACCCAA